TTACCTAGATTAGGTCTACAAGAAACGACTGATTTTGTTGATGATTTCCTTTGCTGTGCAAAAACATTTTAGTTTGATATAATTGCATTTGTTAATTTTTTCTTTTGTTTCCCTTCCCTGGGGAGATGTAGCAGAAAAACTGTTGCTACAAGATAGTTTGAAATTTTACTGCTTATGTTTTCTTCTAGGATTTTTATTGTTTCAAGTCTAACATTTGTCTTTAATTTTGAGTTTATTCTTGTGTATGGTGCAAAAAAGTTGTCTAGTGTCATTTTTTTGCACGTATCTGTCCAATTTTCCCCAAACCATTTATTCAATAGACTATCTTTACCCCATTGTATTTTTTGCCTTCTTTGTCAAATATTAATTGACTATAAAGGTATGGGTTTATTTCTGGGCTTTCTATTCTGTTCTATTGATCTACTTGCCTGTTTTCCTGCCGGTACCACATTTTTTTGATTACAATGGTTTTGTAGTGTAATTTGATATCAGGTAATGTGATTCCTCTAACTTTGCTCTTCTTTCTTGAGATCGCTAAGGCTATTTGGGGTCTTCTGTGGTTCCATATACGTTTTTGGACTATTTGTTCCAGTTTTGTGAAATATGCCATTGTTATGTTGACAGGGATTGCGTTCAATCTATAGGTTGCTTTGGGTGGTGTGGAATTAACATTTTAATGTTAATTCTTTCTATCCATGAACACACTATACTTTTCCACTTATGTTTATTTCCTTCAATTTCCTTCTTCAGTGTCTTATAATTTTCAGAGTACAGGTATTTTACATCCTTGGTTAAATTTATTCCTAGGTATTTTATTCTTTTTGAAGTAATTGTGAATGGGATTTTCTTTGTTTCCCTTTCTGATAGTGCCTAACTGGTGTATAATGAAAAGAGAGCCCACTGAACGGGAGGACATATCCTCCCGTGATACATCTGATGAGGGGTTAATATAAAAAATTTATAATGAACTTATAAAACTCAACGCCAAAATAACAAACCAATTAAAAAATGGGCAGAGAACCTGAAAAGACACTTCTCCAAAAGCAACATACAGATGGCCCACAGACATATGAAAAGATGCTCAATGTCCCTAATCATCAGAGAGATGCAAATTAAAACCACAATGGCCATCTCACACCTGTCAGAACGGCCATCATAAACAAATCAACAAACAGATGCTGGCGAGGCTGCGGAGAAGAGGGACCCTTGTGCACTGTGGGTGGCAATGCAGATGGTGCAGCCCCTGTGGAGAACAGTGTGGGGAGAACTCAAAAAATGAAAAATGGAGCTGCCTCACAAGCGAGCGATACCACTGCTGGGAATGGCACCTGAAGAAACCCCTAACGCTGACTCACAAGAAGACGTGCACCCCTGTGTTCACTGCAGTGTTGTTTACAATCGCAGGCCTGGAAGCAGCCCCAGGGCCCCCCAGGATCAGGGAGGACAGGACGCTGCGCGCCTACACAAGGGAGTACCACGAGCAGAAAACACGCAACTCTTACCCCTCGCGCGGCACTGGACGGCCCTGGAGGGCACTCTGCCGAGTGAGATAAACCCTCAGAGAAAGACAAATACCATATGATTTTGTTCACCTCACGGACAAAATGAATAAAAGCAAAATGTACACAGACCTATGGAGAGAGAGCAGGCCGATCGCTGATGGGGACGGGGAGAGGGGTTGAGGGCTGGGAATGTGATGGGATCGAGAAAAAAGAAGAAACTCCCGGACACGGACCCGGAGGACAGTGTGGCGACTGCGCGGGGGAGGCGGCGGGGGAGGCGGGGGAGGAGGGAGAGGACAGCGGCGGGAGGGGCGGAAGGACCCGGGCGGTGACCTCACAGCACAGCGTACAGACAACGTGCTGCGGGACTGTGCGCCTGAAACCTGCAGAATTTCGTTAACGACAGTCACCCTATAAACCCCCCCCCTCCCAAAAAAGTGACTTTTTTCGGCACTATGAGAGGAGACCCATGAATTAGGACAAGTTTCAATACTAAGGAACAGAGAATAGGGGGAAATGGCCGGGGTGCCAGAGTCCTGGAGATGAAATGTATTCTATCATTTCTTAAAAAGAAACAAAATGACGTGGGTTTCTTAAGATAGCTTCGCCGCCGGTAGGGAACCACGGCACCCGTCTCCGCCCCGGAGCAACTCCTTCAGGGAAGTCCGGAGCCGCAGGCGCCGGCGGAAGGGCTGCGTGGAGCGGGCGGCCGCCCCTCCCTGGCCGCTGGCCCGCAGCCTCTGCTGCGAAACGCTCCTCTTCACACTAGCCCGCCCGCTGTCTTCACTTTCCAGGGAATGGACTTTTTGGCTGAACTGAATGTATCACCTCAGTTTTTCTTTTAATTTTTATGTTTACTGTTCCTAAAGATATTAGACACAGCAAGCAGACTAAAGCCCTAATGCAATCAAACAGAACACCCACGTCCCCGACCTAAGTCCCCCTGAGGCCCAGCCTGCGCGCCCTCTTCACCGGGAGGGAAGGGGCCAAGCAGCGCCAGAGCGGGCGCGCTCCCCGCAGCCCGCGGGACGGGGGCTGCCGCACCTGCCCGGAGGGGCCGGGACAGCAGACCCACGACCGCCCCCCATGTGGCTTTCCTGGAGAAAGAGGGAGGCGAGATGAAGAAAAACCAAACGCAGGACACAGCGGAGGAGTGGAGATTCATAAGTTACAAAGAAAATGCCCAGGAAACCAAGGCGCCCTCGGAGGGGTGGGGGGTGGGGGACGACAAATGTGGTTTTGTTTTGACTTGTCCAAAGGCAGCCTCCAATACGCGGCAGCGACACCCTCTGCAACAAAGAGCCGCAGTGCCACCCACTTCAGAAAGACGGCCCGGCACGCCGCCAACAGCATCCCAGCGCGCTGGGCTCTCGGCCGCCCCCGCCGCCGCCCCCGCCGCCGCCCCCGCCCCCGCCTGGCCGCCGCCGGGAAACTGGGTCTCCGCACCAACTGCACTGGACGGCCCACTTCACAGGATGACTCAACTAGCATTTGTAGCAAAAACATCAGCTGAACTGGGGGTGCTCTTGGATCTTCTCCCCAGAAATTTAACTCATTTCTCCATATGCTTGGGCTTCACCACAGAGCGCGACCTCCTCTCTAACAGGAAGCATGTGATTGACGTCCCGCGGTCCAGCGGACAGTCTCTCCCGGGAAGCCGAGCCCCCGCGGGAGGGGGCCGGCCGCAGGAGGAAGCCCCGCCCCCGGGGCCGCCCCGCCCCGCCCCCTGCTCGGGTCCCCACTTCCTCCCGGAGTCCGAGGCCTGGCTCACAGGCGCACGCAGACTGCTGACGGCCAGCAGGCCCGCAGGCCGTGCACAGAGCGCTCACCTGGCCTCGCCACGGCTCTCAGGGGCCGCGCCGTAACTGAGGGATGAACCCCTACACCGCCCTTCTCAAAGCCGCTCGGCGCTCAGCCTCAGGAGCACCCTGGGGCCCAGAGGAGCCGCCCCAGCCACAGCACAGCTCCGTGGCCGGGGCGGGGGCGCTGTTCGCAGACCCTCCAGCCCGAGCCCGCGCTCCGCTCCTCTCAGGGGTGCCCACGGCAGCCTTCCCAGGTCAGGGGTTCTCAGCCAGAACAGACGACAGCCGCGTGTTCTGGAAGTGCTGGGGAACCTGCCACACTTGCTAGCTGTGGCTAAAAAGCAGCATGTCTGTATCATTACAAAAACAGACCAGGAGGAAAAGTGACAAATCATGTATATTTAAATTACCCTGCAGCAAAGATGAACACTTTTTTCCCCAAAAGGAACAATCTAAGCCTCAGAAGTCTGTGCCCACAAACCGGTCTCTCCAAAGCAGAGCAGGCCTCATGGCGTGAGAGCTATGAGCTGACCTTCAGGGCACGGGGCGGAGAGCATACTGCCCACCCTGGGGACACCCAGTCAGGAAGATGTAACTACAAAACCTCATTCAACAAACAAAACTGCAAAGGAAAAAGGAAAGCTGACAGAGGGAAGCTGTGCACTAAGGCATCTCCCAGGACACAGTGTTCGCCCTCCTGTGCCGAGCTCAGGCGGACACCACACACCCTAGTAGGACGAGGGCAGACCAGAGTACTGCTTTCTGTCGGGTGGCACCAGGGCATTACTTTTATTCTTTAGGGTGAGTATGGTATGATGTTGGTTTTTAAAGACAGTTTTTATATTTTAAATAGGCACACGGAACTATTTAGAATAAAATGTCTATTTGCTTCAAAATTATTTAAAAAAGAAAAAAGCCATCATACTGTCTAGCAATAACATAGTTTGACAAATTAAAAGTATTTCTATTAAATAGTATTTAATAAAGTTTCAACTTCCCAGACGCAGAGTGCCAAGCCTACACAGAACCCTGCTCAGTATATTTAGAGAGGACAGAGTAAATGCCCTCCACTGGGTGCACACACGAAGCACAGGTGTACACACACACACACAACTTGGCACATACAACACATGCATGCACACACTAGACTCAACACACATGCACACTAGGCTCAGAGCACACGTGCACTACGTAGACTCACAGCACACACATCACATCCAGACAGCACACACAGCATACACATGTACAGGCTCAGGAACATGAACACATGTACACAACATGCATATGTATACTTGTATACGTATACTCAGCACCCATATGTATACATGTATAGACTCACAGCACACATATACACCAATTCATAGCACATACAGCACATACATGTATAGAATCAGCACAGAGTACACATACATTATGCACAGAGAGTCACTGCATAGGCACACACATGCATGTACATGAATGCATGTGCACACATGTACATGGCTGTGTGTGTCTGCCTGCACAGAGCACAAGGACTCGGGATGGGTACAGCCTTTCCCTCCCTTCCCCTGCTGCTGCCGGGCAAAGAGCACACCAGGAGATGCCCCAGTTGCTCCTGTGAGTGAGAGGCAAGCACAAGCCTGGGAGAGGTGTTCCCAGGCAGGAAAGAGAAGGGAGCTACCTGCAAGGGAGGATGAAACCCCCAAACACACGTTACCTGTCTCAGTTCCTGGGTGTCCTCCTCAGAAACGAGTGGCTCGCTTGTCTGCAGCTGCAGCGGCCCGCCTTCCTGGCTCCCCGAGGAGGGCTCCTGCGGCCTGGCACAGTTCATCAGCCCAGATGCTGCAACAAGGCAAACAGCAGCGACACCTTCCATAACTTGCGCAAAACGCAAAAGCACTCCTGACCTGACCAAGCTCATCCCAGCTCTCTAGGCCAACAAGGTGTCCTCACCAGATTCACTCCGCCTGCAGCCTCCGCGCCTTGCTGGCCTCCGACATGAGCCTCTGCTAAGCAGCGCGGCGGCAGGGCGCACCCAAGCCTTGCCCTCCACCCCAGTCCCAGTGGCTTCCTTGCCGACTCCGAGCCGAGTGAAACACTGTAAACACCGGGGCCTGGTTCTGTAACTGGCTCTCAGGAGAAAGGCCCCTATCCAGGAGTGGTCATTTTCTTTGTAAGAAAAGACTACAAATATGGGGCTTAAAACAGTGCTTGTTGAACCCCCACGAATCCCACAGGATGCTGCACGTCTGGAAAGCAGAGGGGACGGCCAGCTGGCTGGAAAGCAAAGGGGACTGTGGCTCTGAGAGGCCAGGCACTGCTCAGGATGGGTTTCCACTCACACAGCACCTGCCTGGGTAGCATCCCTGAGGAGCAGAAGGGCAGCCTGGTCAGAGTACTCATCAGGTGGCTTACAGCCCCTTCTGCAGGGTGCCACCTGTCTTTTATTTAAAGAACTGACTCTGCCTGCACCTGGCATGTCGGGCCCAGATAAGAAGTCAGCTAGAGTCTGCTGCCTGTCCCTATGCACAGGCTGCCTCAAGGAGGGAGCACGATTATTTATTAGGATGCCGGGGAGGAGAGCGGACCGCAGAAAATGCACTGATCTCAGACCCAGCACCAGCTCCTCTGAGCAGGCTTCTCTGCTCCAGGGAACGGGGGACACAGCAGGGAGACAGGGGACCCGAGTGGCAGCAAGCAGAGCCGCCCTTCATCAGAGTGGCCTGGAGCAGCTGCTATGGAAAGGAGAGGAGAAGTGAACCTGTTGGGTTTAGGCTGTCACAGGGCCCGAAGGGCTGGAACCCAGCTGGTGGCCTTCAGGACACACCGACTGCACCAGCCCCTCCCCACCAGAGGTCAGTCACCCCCAACATTCCCATTTCTCAAAATGAATCTTAAAAATAACACTCCCTGAGAGTGCCTGGCCTCATCCAGGAAAAATGTGGGCTAGGGTGAGGACAGGAAGGCGGTTTCTCAGGTCCCAGGGGGAAAAGGGCCCTGTGAAGTGGAGTCAGCTCAGGAGGCAGCAGAGGAGCAAGTCTGCAGCGCCCTGGCCCTCCCCGTGCGGAGGGACGAAGGCACCCTGCACAGAACTGCTGCACCCATGCCACATCTCCAAGTCTGAAAAAGTCTCACACCAAACATTATTGCAAACCAAGCACTCATACGTCTGCGGTTCTAGTCCATGCTTTAGAAAGCGCTGGCTGCAACCCCTCTAAACTAGCGCCATAACTTGTCTTCTAGACTTGCTGAAGCCCCACCTGCTCCAGCACCCAGGGCTGCTCATGAGCAGGGCGCCGTGGGTCCTGCGTGGTCTGAAGTGCTGCTCATGGGGAGGTAACTCATGAAAAGTCCTTTCCTACCGCACATTGACAGCAGAGCGCCTTCAGAGCCAGGCTGAAAGCTAGCACGGCACAGCAGAGGCAGGGCCCTGCTTGTCATTACTAACTTAAAGGAGAGGCCGCCTGATGTGTGACGTTAAAGCGTTAAAGCGTTTTCAGCTATGACACAATGGCTAAGTGCACGTCACCGGCCTATGAGAACAGCAGCTCTCCAGCCTAAGGGGGTGAGGAATGCCTCCCTCAGCCTAGCCCCTTCTACACTCTCCCCAGCAGGCTGGCCCTGCTGCCTCTCCGCCCACCTGTGCCTCTCTGGCAGAGGGGCTGCCCGCCAGCGCTAAGTAGGGCAACATGTCCTGCAGTCCAGGCCCTTCCATCAGCAGCATTCTGAGTACCATTACGTGTGCACAGCTCTTAGTGAATGAACTTGCTTAGAACTGCCCTGCTGTTCACCTCATCTCCCGCCGGGATCTCCTGACCAGCTTCTGTGGGAGCAGGTCCTGTCCGCTCACACTGCGCGCAGGACTGTGCTCCGGTGCCCACGTCAACACCCACCGCTGCGTTACTGAGAGGGACGTCCTCTTTTTGAACGTTTAACCAAAGGGTATAAACCAGAAAGTCAAAATGGAGGATGTTTCTTCCTGGAATATACCAAGTCGGGGATGTTTTTCAGGACAAGCTACAGGTTCAGTGGGAACCCGCCCAGGCCAAGACTTCTGCCACCCCCGGGGCTCTGTGTTGACACTGGAGTAGCTGACTCAGTTACCTCAATGCTTTGAAACATCTTCTGAGAAAAATTAATTTAGTTCAGTATAAGATGGTTTTTGTCTCTAAAGTCATTAATTATCTCTGTTAACCAAAATAAGCACATATTGTTCAAGCTAAAAGGGAACTTACAGATGAGTTCACTTTCCAAGAAGGAGGAGACATCAAGGGGACCTGGCTGGGGTGTGGAGGCGGCACCAGCAGGCAAATGTGAGGCAAGATTTCCGCGGGGTGGGTAGGCGGGTGACCAGACATCTTACATCAGGCGGTCGGGGAGGGCTCTTTCAGAAGGTGAGAGTCAGTAAACAACAAAGACAAAAAAACCAGTACCAAAATCCTTGACAGCGCCAGGCACAAACACTGCTCTGACAGAGAGAGGTCTGTGGGCCTCCTCCCAGACCCGTCACCCCAGGACCCCGGAGACTGTCTGGAAGCATGCTAATGCTCCTAAAAACCATCAAGGCCACCGAGGCAAGGACAGCCTGAGCAACTGACACGGTCAAGAAGGGTCCAAGGAGACGCAATGCCAAAGTGTCACATGGGATCCCGGAGTAAACTGTAAGACAATCTGGATAAAATATATATTTGCGAGGATAACAATGTATCCATATAGGTTCATTGGTTATGACAATGAATGGCACTAATATCAGGTGACAACAAGCGGGGACACATGGGAACTCTAAACTATCCGTGAAACTTTTACTGCTAGTCTGAAACTATTCTAAAATTCCAAAAATTATTTAAAAGATGCTACGCAGAGAAACAGCAACTGGCAACAGCTCTTCCCTAAGGTGAAACCGCCCACCTACACCATGCCCGGCCCTCACCCGTCCCCATGAAATAGCACCTCAGAGGTCCCTGGAAGGTTTTTCTAAGTACCCACCCAAGGCAAACAAGGCTCTCCTGTTACCTGACTGCCCCCTCCTGGCCACATATTTCACCCAAATGCCTCATCCAGGAGAGGAAGACGTTTCTGAGCAGTGTCGCCATGCCCGCCTCCACTGTCCTCAGTCTCCAAGGTGGACCAGTGAGGCAGAGGTGACGGCAGACACGACGCAGAGGCCATGGGGAGAAGCCGGCTCCCCTCACTGGGCTTGCAGAGCACACCGAGCGGCTCCCGGCCCGTCAGACACCATCCTGCTTATTACTTAGCTCAGCACACCGGCTTCTTCCCAAGGCACGCTCCTAGTGACCCGAGCCCCTCCACACCCACAGCTGTCGGTGCATCGGCACCGTGAGGCAGGGTGGCCCTTCCTGCTGATGCAGATGCAGGTCCCCGGGGCCCCTCCCAGAGGCTAGAGTTAGACCCGACGTGAAAGCCCACGTGACAGCTCATCCCACAAACATCAGACCCTCCGCCGAGACGGGCCCAGCCACAGCGCTTCAGCCCAGGCCTAATCCCCGTGCTGTCGGGGAGGTACCTGCAGCGTGGACGTAGAAGGCCTAGCATCGCTGACCTGAGGTAAAGGAGACGTTCTTGATGATGTGGTGGACCGGGTGCAGTCAACTGAAAGGCCATCAACGCAGACCTGTGGCTTCCCGAGGAGGAGGCCGTCTGGCTGGGGTCGGCGACCTCAGCCTGCCCTTCCTGACGCAGGCCCTGGGAGTGCGTGCTCACCCCACTTCCTCATCTGCCTGTGGCTGCAGAGGCCCTGCACTCACTTCCTGCTCCTCCCCAGCCCTGCCTGCCACCTGGGCACCAGGGTCAGAGCCTGCCGCCCCCCCTTCCAGGGCACCCCGCAGCAGGCCCAGCCACTTGGTGCAGTGTGGCCTTGTGCCACATGTGGCGTGCTCGCATCTGCCCCCTCATTCACTATGTTCCGGGCCGTGTTCTCTCGGAAACCACTGTGGCTAACTAACTCACAAACGCAGGGAAGCTCTGTGAGAAGGAGGGTTGTGGGTTTATTTCGTTTTCCCCCCAGGACTGTGGGTGCCTTACACCACACCTGGCACTGCAGGGTTCTCCATCGGCGCTGGCAGAGCCAGCGGCCGACGGCGCTGTGTGTGGTCCCTCTGGCCAGGGCCTCGCCCACTGCTGAGGCCCCTCCCTGGGGAGAATGCAGTGGGGTGACTCAGTCAAAACTGGGGCATCAGAGCAGCTGCCCAGCTGGCCTCACCTGAAGGGCCCTCTGCTCAGGGTCTCGTGGGGGCTGCTACAGCCCACCCTTCCTGGTCCTTCTGTGGGCCAGCTTCTGAGTCCTGCTTTGAGTGAGGCGGCCCAAAAAACCCAGAAATGCCAAGAAAGTAAGTTTTTAAATTCAGTTTGTACATTAACATTCTAACATTCTGGATCTTATGAGACTAGATGTGTTGTCAAGTATATTTCTTTTTGAAACTTGAAGCCATCTAGAATAACATCAACATATTCATTTGTTGGGGAATAAGTTACATATTAGAATTAAAATCAATCACTTGAGAGAAAAAAAGGAACTGGAATAGTAACAAACATCGTTCTTACTTTAACAGACATTCAGGAATCAAAGCTAATAAGGAAAGACTATTAGTTGTCCAAAAAATCACATTAAATATAGAAGTAATATTACCTATAATTCTAGTATTAGAAAGTATCAGAATATTTTATGACTTTGCGATTCTTAAACAGGGCTCGAAAACAAAGGCCGGGGGAGACGGCGGGACAGCCACGCCACAGCACAGCTTCCTGCCACGGAGGCTGATGGGCGGGGGAGCACTGGCCTCTCAGGCCAGCACAGCAGGACTGTCTAGAACAGGTAAGGAACTCCTGTAAATCAGACAGAAACAAACGAACCAAAAAGCCCAGTAAGAAAAAAAAAAACCCCACAAGCACCTAAACCCAAGAATTGCTGTTTGTCGTAGCAGCAGTTTAGACAGAGGCGCTGACAGCAAGCGGATCTTGTTGCCTTTGTGGGCTGTGGCTGTGCCCCTTGAAGTGAGTTGAAAGGTTCTACGCTCTTGGAAGAAAACAAACAAACAAACAAAAAACAGAAAAACAAAAACAAAAAAACAAACCCAAAACAGAACTGGCAATCCACAGAGCAAAAACCTGTGGGGCTAAAAAGCAAGTAAGCACCAGATGCTCCGTTTCACAATCAATGAAAGAAATTGAAATAAAACTACCACCAAGATGCCACAGAACACCTGTCGGAATGGCAAAACTGAGAAGTCAGACAACATCAAGCTATCCCGTGCTAGGGAGGAGGCCGGGACCCAGGAAGCTGGAGATGTGTGGACATGTGACACATCCCCAAGTCCTGCTTCCCATTGGACCCCACTGGCCACCCAGCTACACCCTCCACAGCCCACAGACCTGCAGGAGGACGCGGCAGGCTCACTGCCGGAGAACCCAGGCTTTCAGAACTCCTCACGGATGCCACTTAAACCACACATACCATGCCACAGTTTGCAAAGATCCCCGACCTAAACGCACACCTTGGGGGTGGCTGATCTGGGAAGACCTCGGTCAAATGTGAAGCGAAACAGGAGTGAGGCTGAGCCAGGGTGGGAGGGATGGAGACACAGCAGGGCAGGCAGGGCTGGTGCCAGTTAAGACCCTGAAGTGCTGGTTCTCAAACCAGATGGAGGAGAGTGAAACTTCTAATTCAGACTTTGCCTTTGTTCTGAAAGGGTCACTCAAACCTTTTCGGGCCTATTTGGAAGATGATATGATTGGAGATTCACAGTTGGCAGATGCTAAGGAAAATGGCCTAAAGTTACTTTGACTTGCAAACAGTTGCTAGGGGGCTGGGGCCAGCAGCCGCTCCCGGGGAGGCACCAGGTTAAGGGTGCCCCAGGCAGGCTGGGGGTGCTGGGATGCCCGTGGGCTGAGCATAGGCTGTGCTCATGCTCACTCACCTGCTTGCCAGATTGAGTGGCCCTTCTCTGCTGGGGAAGAGGTTCCAGGGCTTCTGAGCATCATGGCATCTTCTAAAAACTCGATCTTCTTGCGGAACTGCATTTCCAAAACGGGGATCGCCTCCGGCATCCTGGCAGATATCAAACGGAAGGCGATGTCTGGTTTCCCAATGAACCTCTGGCGGATGCTAACTTCATAACGTGTGTGAACCTTAACGTCATCTACATCTTCTCTCTCAAATCTGTGTATAAGCGAAGAGCCTGAGTCATGGATTTCTAACCCGGAAACAAGGATGGTGAGCCTTCCTGGTTTAACATGAGATTCTGTTCTTTGGGAAATAACAGCAGGAATTCTGATCACTATCCCTTCTTTTCCAAGAGCTTTGGAACTAGCCGTTGAGGAGCCTTCCTTGAGCTCTGTGTCTGATGGCACCTTCCAAAACTTGAAGCTAAAGGGCCACCAAGAAGGAGATTCCAGTTCTGTCAGCAACCTAAAAGGTCAAACAAAACATAAAAAACTGGGTCAAATTTTAATACCCCTTTTTAAAATGTGGCCTTTATATTATAAAGCACTTTACTATTTTACGGTTTTCTTTTGCATAAGTACTCCATGAAGCAGAAAGAGCAGGTATGATTATTCCACGTTATAAGAAAAGACACGTGAAGCTAAAAGCAGCAGGGCATCTGCCTACAGATGCAAAGTTCATATGCAGTGGACCCAAAAAAGCACATGTCTTTGGATCAGAATGCTACTCTTACTACACTTGACTCCGGGTAATTCCGATCTGACCCTCCAGAGAGCTCATATAACTTTTGGCAGTGATCTGTACTGTCCAATACAGTAACAGGCACATGTGGTGGTTGGGGACCTGAAGTGTGATTAATGTAATGAGAAACTGGACAGCACAGCTCTAAAGTAACCACTAATAGCACCAACAGGTATAGCTAAAAAGTCAGTAAAAGAGGAAAAAAATAAAGGCAGGCCTGGAAAAGCAAAGGAACAAGGATCAAATAAACAGAAGATAAATAAATAAGATGGTGGAATTAAACACAACCATATTGATAATGATACTAAATAAAAACGGACTAAATTCTCTAATTAAAAAGCAGATTGTCAGCCTGAGTAAAGAATCAAGACTCAGTTATATCTTGTTTACAAGAGACATTGTGAGTTATAAGGACACAGATCTATCAAAAGCAAAGGGATTGGAAAGAAGACATATCACACTAAAAGTAAGCTTTAAGACAAGACATATTCCCAGGAATAAAGAGGACCGTGCATAATAACAAGAGGGTCAGTCCATCAGAGAGACTTACCAACACTAACCAGGTTGTTAATCTAACAACAGAACTTCAAAAATTCACTAAGCAGACATGGATATAACTAAATGGAGAAACAATCACAGCTGTACATTTCAACAAATTTCTCACTATGGTTGATACAGCAAGAAGACAAAAATAATTAGTAAGAACATAGGAATTTTGAGCAACACTATTTAACCAACTCAACCTGCTTGGTATATATAGAAACAGCATCTAACTATTGAATGCATTCTTTTCAAGTGTATTCAGAACATTAAAAAACAAAGTATAACAAGCCTCGATAAATTTCAAGTATTAAAATCATACAGAGTATATATTTGTCCCCAAAGAAATGAAACTAGAACTCAATAACAAAGCTAACTAGAAAATCCTCAAATATTTGGAAATTAAACAATTCTAAATAAAGGATATCAAAACGTGAAGTGAATGAAACTGAATACATAATACACAAGAAATGGTGGAATACAAATAGAGCAGACAGGAGAGGGAAAGTTATTGCTCTCAATGCACATATCTGGAAACCTTTTAGAAAGGTTTAAAAATCAGTGATTTAAGTTTCTTTCTTAAAAAGTTATAAATTAAACCCAAAGTAAGTAAAGAAAGGAAAAGTAGAAATCAGCAAAGTTGAAAACAAAAAATATAAAACATTAACAAAGCCACAAGCTGGTTCTTTAAAGTAATTAAAAAATTAAACCCTTAAGCAAGAAATGATCAATTAGAAAATAAAAATGCAAATTACCAATACCAGGAATAAAAAAAGGGGCATCCGACAGAGACTTCAGCCATTGAAAAGCTATAGAGGACATTACATTGAACTTAAACCAATAAATTGGACAACTTACATGAAATATACAAAACAAAAAGGAAACATCTGAAACTGATGAAAGAAAAAGTTTAAGAAGGTGAAGAGACTCACAAAGAAATTGAATCTGTATTTTTGCAAGAGGTAACAAATCTATGTTTCTTGCCCTGGCTGGTGTGTCTCAGTAGATTGAGCACCAGCCTACAACAGTTGCCAGTTCGATTCCCAGTCAAGGGCACATGCCTGGGTTGCAGGCCAGGTTCCCTGGTTTCTTTCCCCTTCTCCCTCCCTCCCTTCCCAATTAATTAATTAAATCTTTTTTTTTTTTTAAGCTGCCAATAGGCGGGGAAAAAAACCTATGGTTTAGGTGGCTTCACTGATAAATTCTGTAAGCATATAAAAAAATAACAATTGTACACCAACTCTTTCAAAGACTAGAGCCAAGAGTAAATGCTTCGACCATTCAGTTCACAGAATCACTCTAACTCCTACTCTAAAACCCAATAAGTGCATTATAAGAAAATAAGAACATAGCAATGTCCCTCAGTAACACAGATGCAGAATTCCTTACGGAAATATAGTAAATCAAATCTACCAATACAGTGGTACCTCCATACTCGTCGTTCGTTCATTCCAGAACTCGTGACGAGTGCCGAAACCAATGAGTACCAAAGAATAAACCACTTTCTCTTGCGGAGCAGCATCGTGACTCATACAAGTTCTAGCAAGTGTGATGAGCTCCCAGCAAGCGTTCAGTGCTGAAACTTTTTGTTTCTCGTCAAAATGTGACAAGCACAGGGTTTCACAAGTTCTGAGGCCGACGAGCACCAAAGTATGACTGTATATAGAAAATATTATGTCATGATTAATGGCATTGATCCCAGGAGACTGAGGTGGGTTTAACATTTGAAAATAATCAATGTATCTCATTGGTAGAAAAACAAAAGGAAAACTGTATGAGTGTCACAAAAGATGCAGAAAAAGAATCAGATAAAATTCAGCATTCACTCATGTTAAAACTTCCAGCAAGCTGAACACAAAAGGAAATTTCCTCAATCTGATAAAGGACCTCTATAAAAAACTTACAAGTAACTGAATGCCTAAGGTTGAGAACATTGATGTCTTCCCTCTAAGATCAGGAACAAAGTTTTAAAAAGGGGGGAACAGATTTTGAAACTATCTGAATTTTTACAGTATCCCCGAGATCCCACAACAACCGAGGCGTGGCCTTATCAGCACAGGGCACTTTAGCACAACCCCTGGCTAATCGATGGCTGACTCGTAAGCACGCTGACGCAGGAACAACTCATGGGAGCCAAGCCAAGCTTAAAAATTAAAACAATCACAAACAAAAATAAAAAGGCTGAACAGATGACAAATGTTGCACACACAGTGGAGATACACTCTGCCAAACTAGTCTGGGCAACTTCCAAAAAACGAACAAACAAAAATCATCATCAACAGCACCACCCTGTGGTAAGAACAGACATCAGAATCCCGAACTTCAACAATACATTTTTTTATAGGCCAAGTTTTCTAACAAAAAAGTATGCGATATACAAAGAAACCAAAATGTGACCTATTCACGCTGGGGTGGGGGTGGGGGTGGGGGGTGATGACACACACACACACACGGGACAAAACAAAACTAAAGAATCGACAGAGCCCATCTCTGAGAGCATTCAGATGCTGGATTCAACAGCTAAAGGTTTCAAAGAAGTATTATAAACATTCAAAGAGTCAAAGGAAACCAGGTTTAAAAGGTTAAAGGAAAGCACAATGGTGATGATTCATCAGAGACCATCCTTAGAGACAGAAATTATATATTTAAAAAATAAAATGGAAATCTTCAAATTAAAAAGTTACAATAACCCAACAAAGAAAGTTCAGGAACAGATGGCTTTACCGGTGAATTGTAGCAAATATTTAAAGGAGAATTAATACCAATTCTTATCGCAGTTTACCAAAATTATAAAAAAAGGAGGCACTTCCAAATACATTTTTTAGGCTAGCCTAACCCGGATACTAAAACAAAACAAAGATACCACAGGGAAAGAAATGTATATGCAAGTATTCCAGATGAACACAGATGCAAAAACCTCAATGAAATATTAGCAAACCAAATTCAACACTATATTAAAAGGATCATACAGTATGACCAAGTAGATATATTGCAGTATGCAAGGATAGTTTGACATCCAAAAACCAAGTATATGATTTACCATATTAACAAAATTAAGGATAAAAATATGATCATCTCAACAGAAGCAGAAAAGTATTTGACAAAACTCAACATCCATTCATGACAAACCCTCAACAAAGTGGATGTGGAAAGAACATACTTCAAAATAATAAAGGTCATACATGAAAATAATAATGAAGTCCCCAGCTAACATCATAAGCAACAGTGAAAAGCTGGAAGTTTTTCCTCTAAGGTCAGAAACGAGACAAGTATTGGATACGAGACATACAAGGAAACCACTTTTATTCAACATAGTACTGGAAATCCTAGCCAGCCCCAGCAATCAGACAAGAAGAAGAAATAAAGAGCATCTAGCCCTGGCCAGTGTGGCTCAGTTGGCTGGAGCATCCCATTAACCGAAAAGTTGTGGGTTCAGTCCTTGGTCAGGGCACATACCTAGGTTGCAGTTTCAATCCCTAGGTGGAGCACGTACAGGAGGCAACCAACTGATGTTTCTCTCCTTCTCTTCTTCTCTAAAAGCAATGAAAAAGTGCCCTCAGCTGGGGGGTGGGGAAGAAATAAAGAGCATCCAAATTGGAAAAGGAAAAAATTATCTCTATTTGCAGATGAAATGATATTATATATAGAACCATTAAGACTTTACCCAAAAAACTATTAGAATAAACAATTTCAGTAAAATTGCAGGATACAAAATTAATATATAAAAGCTAGTTGCTTCTGTACACTAATAATAAACTATCAGAAAAAATGAAGAAAATCCCATTTATAATTGAATAAAATACCTAAGAATAAATTTAAACAAGGAAGTGGAAAGACCTGTACACTGAAAATTATGAGACATTGAAGACAGAAACTGAAAACACAAATAAATGGAAAGAATGCAGCAATCCCCCCCTCACCCACGGTTTCCTTCCCACAGTCTGTTACCCATGGTCAACCGCAGTCAGGAAATATTAAATGAAAACTTCCAGAGATAAAAAATTCATGTTTTAAACTGTGCACCATTCTGAGTGGTGTCATGAAATCTCCAGTCACCTTCGTAAAGGCAGGTCGCCCCTTATCCAGCATATCTACACTCCATGTGCTACCTGCCTCCCAGTCACTTAGCAGCTGCCAATCGACTGGCATGGTTACTGCAGTGCTTGCGATCGAGTTACCCTTAC